ATGGGCTCAGTCACTGAGCCGCGAGGGCCGGGCAGTAGGGCTGCTTGTCATGGGATCTCCCTCCTCTATCAGAGATTCCGGCTGAGGTTCCCTGTACCCCCCATTCTCAGGCCTCCCAGCGGGGAGGAGCCTGCCTTGTTTTCCCAGTGAGGCTGGGCCCTGCCGGCTGCAGGGAGGGGCTGGGACCCAGGCCCGGCCCCTCCCAGGGCTCCATCCCCACGGGGCAGGCAGTGGACTCAAAGGGGCCCCTTCCATCCTGGCCTGGGATCCCCAGATGCTGCCAGCGAGAAGGCCTCCCTCCCTCCGTGGGCGCTGGCCTCCCTGTTCCAGGCCGTCCGGCGGGAGGAAAGGGCCGAGAGGCAGATGGACAGAGAGAGCCTGGGCAGCACCTCTTCTCTGGCTTCCGTCCCTGAGGCCACCGGTGTCAGCTTTTGTCCCCCCCACCCCTGTGGTGAACCACCTCAATAGGCCTCCGGCTTCTCAGGTCACTGACTGCCCGCCTCGCTTTGTCAAGTCCAGAGGAGGTTTGACGCTTGCAGCCCTGAGGGCTGTGACAAACTGTATGTGTCAGGGTCACAGGCAGTTCTGAATCAGCAGCTTCCAGCCCCAAAGTTGAAAGAGGCCCCAAAAGGTCATCCAGGACAGTGGCTTAAACCAAACACAAAAAGCAGCCCTGGCTGGTGTGGCTCAGTGGATAGAGCGCCAGCCTGCTGACCGAAGGGTCCCAGATTCGATTCCAGTCAAGGGCACATGCCCGGGTTGCAGGCTCGATCCCCAGCAGGAGGCGTGCAGGAGGCAGCCGATCAGTGATTCTCTCTCATCATTGATTTTCTATCTCTCTCCCTCCCTCCCCCTTCCTCTCTGAAATCAATTAAAAAAATATATTTATATATAAAAAACACACACACACACACACACACACACGTCTCCCTTTCTCTCCCTCACATTTTCTACTCCTGTTTCCCAGGCCCCCGCCCTCTGAGCGGCCCCTTTCCCACAGAAAAGCTGAAATCTCGCAGCCCTTCCACCGTAGCCCCGCCCCTCCCACTCAGGTGCGGCCCCCTGGGAGCTCACCTGGCTCCTACCTCGTTCGTCTCAGAACTTGGAGGATGTGCTCTGCTTGGCCCAACACAACGCATTGGCTTGGTTGCGTGTTTAATTTTATTTTCTTCCTGACATTAAAAAGAAAAGGATACATTTCACATAAAACCCTGAACTCAGGCTATTCTCCCCCAAAATGGGAAGATCGGACACCAGGGGTCCTCATGGTGCGTGGATTGTGCACCGGGGGGGGGGGGGGGGGGGGGCCCAGGGCTGCCCGTCAGCCGGGCAAGGCGGCTCCTCTTCCCAGAACCCGCCGGGTCCCGCGGCTCTTCCCTGGGACCCACTGGATCCCGGCGTGACTCACCGGCCTCTGGAAGCTTCTGCCGGTGACCCCTGCCCTGGCGGCAGAACCCGCCTGGCCGAGGCTCTGCGTCAGCCTCCTTCCTTCCCTCCGGCGAGTGGAAAGACCCGGCCTGCAGACTGCTTTTTCCACGGATGTCAGTGAGGCTGCCACCTGGACGCAGGCACAGTCAGTTTGGTTTTAAGCATTTCCCACCCCAGTACACACATGCTCCATGGCCTATAGAACGCCCCCCGCCCCCCCAGTAACGGGTTTTTTTCAGGACGACTCAGACTTCATTATTTAACCCTGGACCCTGTGCTTGGAGATTGGAGGCTGGCTCTCGGAGCAGAAGCAGCACGGGCCCGCCTGGGCGCAGCCTCAGCCAGGTGGCCTGGCACGTCTGGTCTGGCTCGGTGCTCACTGGGGGACTCGCTCTTCAGTCTACTGTTTGGAGCTCCGTGCAGATTTTCAGAGGCACCCCCGCTTCCTCTTCAGGCCCGCGCCTGCTTTTCTGATCTCTCCCATGTGCAAAGGAGCCGACCCTCCCTCCCTGTCTCCCACGGGGCCTCAGCCCCGGCCAGAGGAGCCGGCCCTGCCTGTGTAAACTCTCTCTCTCTGCTGACACCGACAACCACCCGGTTCTCACCTGAGGGGCCGTGGCAAGCCCCACCGGGAAGGACCGAGCCAGCCCGGAGCAGCGGTTCTCCAAGTGTGGCCTCGGGGTCAGCGGAGCGCCCCCACCTGGGACTTGTTCAATGCGGGCCCTCAGCCCCGCCCACCGAATCCAAACCTGTATCTTATCAGGATCCCCAGGTGATTGATGGATAAAACAAGTTAGGTTCTTTAGTGAAAAGGCCTGTGGAGTACGAAAAAGAAAGGGATAAGACATTGACGAGGAAGAGGGTCTGTCCACAGAGGCCCTGCTCTCAAAGGCTTGGTCTCAGGACCATTTACGCTCTGCAGGATGTTGGGGACCCCACAGAGCTTGGTTATGTGGGTTACACCTATTAGAATTTGCCAGATTGGAAACTTAAAAAGTATTGGCCCAGCCGGTGTGGCTCAGTGGTTGAGCATCGACCTATGAACCAGGAGATCACGGTTCGAATCCCAGTCAGGACACATGCCTGGTTGTGGGCTCGATCCCCAGTGTGGGGCGTGCAGGAGGCAACCGATCAATGATTCTCTCTCATCATTGATGTTTCTATCTCTCGCTCCCTCTCCCTTCCTCTCTGAAATCACTAAAAAAAATTTAAGAAATATTGTTCATTCACTTTAAAATAGTGAACAGCCCACGTGAGCGCGTAATTTATGAAAGTAGCTGTGCTTCCTCCCACGGAAGAACCGCTGGGCAGAGCGCATGGCTTTGCCTTCTTGCTCTCCGTGGCCCCTGCCTGACCGCGGGCGACTCCCCTCTGCTTCTGGGCTCGGCTGCTGCAACACCCCGCGCCCTCCCGCGCCCTTTGGAAAACGCCACCGCACAGCAGGGAGGGAAACTGCGGGGAAGGCCCGGCTCCCCGAGGCCGTCAGGAAATGGTTTTGACTGTGCGTCCCCCTGGGAGGGTCAGGGTCGGGGCCACCGTGAGAACCGGGCGATGTGGGAAGAAGTCGCTTTCAACTGCGCGGAGATCGGGCAACGAGGGTGTCAACGCAACCTCCGCCCGGGGCCCGGAGCAGCTGCGGGGCCAGGGCAGGTCCCCTGCCTCGGGAGCCGGTCGCCCGGTCGGTTCTATGAAGACAGCCGCACCCCGCGCTCGGGTCCGCCACACCCCGCAACACCGGGGAGTTTCCCCGCGGAACTTCAGAGCAACGCCGCCGTCTGTCCAGCAGAGGGCGATGGAGACCAGCCTGGCTGGGCCCCAGCCACCGAGGCCCTTCGCGGCCACCCCGACTCCACCCCCCAGACACCAGGTTCCCTCGTGATCGGGGCGGTGTCTCGGGCGACCTGGGCCGCCGGGAGCGCCTGGGAGCCCGACGGCCCTTCACGTTGGCCCAGATGTGGTCGGGGGCTGGGAGAGCAGAGGGAAGTGGTTTGGGCAAAGGCACATTTCCCCCCTCCTGGGGCCTTGTGGGG